CCTATCACATGTTCGATCGGATAGTACATGATTCGAGACAAAAGCTGCCTCGATACTTACGTATCGAGCAGCTATTTTTTGATAGACACAGGTAAAAAAAAAAATAATATGCGCGTACCAATTTGGAACGTATATGTTCGTGATAGGAGTAAACCGACTTAGTTATTAATGATTGAATAAAGTAATCTGTTATTCAATACAAATCATCTAAGATCCAAAAAGGATCTTGCTTTTGTTTTTTCACTTCAGGGGTATTTGTTGTTTCATGTAATGGTGACGATTGTGGAGATGGTGTATTAAGTCGCTTTCGAGCGATTTTTCGTATCTTTGTAGCTAGGTCCATTAGTGTGTGCTATATATAGAAAATACAAAGATCTGTAAACACCAATGACTTAACAGAGAAAAACGTGCCCACACACATACCCGTAAAGCAAGAAGATTTTCCAAAAAACTTGGCAAAAGATCTTCCATATCGGAGAATGTTGTTGGAAGTATCAGTGTTGCCATCTCAACGAAAAAATAAAAATTTTGAGAACTATCATAAGAGAGAGAGTATATAGTCCATCTTGTGCCTATATAACGCAAGAGAAATTTTTGGTAACAAAGCTAAAAACACACTGAATGGTTGTCTTTTTACTCACCAGTAATTTGAATGCCAATGATAAAAACTTCTTCAAGTTCTGCCTTTTTGAAATGTAATTTGCTCCACAATGTATCTAAACAATCTTTCATTACTATCTTAAGTTTTGAATGATCCTTTCGATATTTGGTATCATCAATGGGTTCTCCTGTATTTCCCACTTCAAGTGGTAGTAGCTCAGTTTTGTGACTTCGCAATGAGATAATTAAATCCATTTTTCTCATATTAGAATTTAGCGTCATGTATTCTTCATGCACGGCCTTTCGTTTTCGATTCGTAACACTACGAGACTCCTTTTCGATCCTAGTCAAGTCTTCAGGTTAATATCACAATAAATAATATATGATGTAAAAGATACCATCACTTACCAGTTAAGCTCAAAAGTACCGATATCGAATTCTTCTAAAAGCATGCCAATTATTGGACCCAGAATCTTAACAATAAAGTCCCGTTCTCGATGTTGCATGATCAGGACATTGATCTCTCTTCGTAAATAGAGATGGCTAAATTTAACCCAGTGAATATTTCCAAAGAGAAAATTTAATGAATTTCTGGTTTTATCTCATTCAAAGTATTCAACTGTATACTTACAAAAACTCCATTATTCCAACAGTTAATCGCGAATCTTCAGATGATGCTAAGTTTGTAAATATATTTTTCCATGATTCTAGATCGTTTAATGACCGTTACCAGAATACCATTATAATCTCTGAATGTGTTGTAAAAAGCAAGCAACTACATAAATAAAAACGACTTACAATCCGACCAGATTCATCGTGTAGCAATTGTTGCACATTCTTGTCAATCTTCTCCTTGCAGAGCTTTTTTCTTGACTTGATAAATAATTGCGAATAATCCGATACCTTAAGAATCCTGTTCCATTCGACTTGCGTCCAATTTGAAAGATCCACAATCCGGGATTCAATAGACCTGAAATTATTTAGCGGTTAAGTAAAAAAAAAACACACATCATTTGTCACAATACATACTACACTCGCAATTTTTCTTTTTTCAATCGTTCCATAACTTTTGTCCATATTTCCTCAAGTGTTATGTTTGAAAAAAGCAAGCCAGATATCTATGGTTGCAGTGAAAGGTATCAGATGTTGTTCAAAAAGACATAAGCTGTTTTCATTGCATTACCTTATTTACAATAATTCCATCAATTTCAGCAACTTGGTCGCCATTCAAATCACCTACAGAACCATCGACTGAAGAAGTGGGTTTGGTGTTTCTCTTTTCTTCTTGATCATCGCAATGATGATTTCTCGAACTTACACGGCGATTGTCGATGTTCTGGGTTGCAAAATCTCCAGTCAAGTTGTTAAGTTGGTTTAGTTTATTAACCTAATTTGACGAAATGTTAAATAATCTTTTTTGCCAGTACAATATCAGACTAGATAGAAGCTCACCTGCAAATATACGTCAGAAGCTGTGCTGGAACATTCCAATTTTGGTTTTTGTGCTGTCCAATTCTTGGTAAATAAATACTGAATTAATTCTTTTTTTTGTGCAATTTTAATAACATCACCTTTTTAAAGTATCTTTTACTTTCAAGTATTTTATATACGGAATTAATAATATCAAGCCAAGAGCTATCCTTAGGCTAAGAGACTCAGCTTGCACTAAGCGTCGAACTAAGAGTTCATAACTGGTGGCTAAGAGACCCAGCTTGCACTAAGCGTCGAACTAAGAGTTCATCACTTGGACTAAGCTCTTGCTTTAAATTTCTATCTCATTAAAAAAAAATCCGCTTCCACATTTTATTTAAAGGAATATACCTTCCATTGATCAAGAATTTCTTGAGCTTTTTTTCTCTTTGTCTCGTCAAATTCGAAAACCAATACAACCTTCTGAAGATCCTTTTTTATGGAATCTAGCACTTGCCTCTGATCTTTTTGCAGTTTCGCACGATAGTGTTCCGTTACTTTGACGTATGTCCAGTCTCCGACCGCGTTGAGGCTGTAAAAATCCATGAGTAAAACTACTTAGCTTTTTATGGACTGTATTTTTATACAAAAATTGTGGTTTTAAAAAAAAGTAGTTATCGTTATGCAATGTATTCTGCCTTGTATAACATTTAACATCATGAGTGCACTGAAATAAGTAAATTGACACAATTTCTTACTTCATTTTGTGGCACAATGTATGCCTCAAATACGTTATGCATTTACGTGAACACTCTTATATACTACCATTTTGCATGTTTTGCAATACTGGTGTGAATAGTGATTGCTACACCCGTGCTTCTACCCTCTAAAGATATGCCACTTTTCAGTATAATTTTGTTTGTATATATTATTCGGATTTTTCATTATTATTATCCCTTAATCTGTAAACTTTTCTAGGCAAATTTGCCTGGAAAATTGTTAAAAATATGCTTATGATCTACATTTTTTAAATTTTAAAATATTTAAATAAAA